CCTTTTGTTTTGGATTCCATCACCCACAGAAACGGACCTTGGCTATTCACCCTATCTATGTTCCTCATGATTTTATAAACCTGTTTAAGATTATCCTTCAACCTTCAACGTTCCAAGAGAAAAGTCCCAGCCTATTCAGCCTTTCCCTATAGCTCAAACCCTCCAGTCCCGGCAACATCCTTGTAAATCTTTTCTGAACCTTTTTAAGTTTCACCACATCCTTCCTACAGCAGGGAGACCAGAATTGTACACAGTATTCCAAGAGTGGCCTAACCAATGTCCTGTACAGACACAATATGACATCCCAGCTCTTATACTCAATGCACTGACCAATAAAGGCAGGCATACCAAACGCCTTCTTCACTACCCTGTCTACCTATGATTCCACTGTCAAGGTACTGCAATAATCCAGGGAAATGGTAATTATTCCATTACATTCAGGGTTTGTGTCATGTTGATGGTGGTCAGACACTGGGGAAACAGGAGGTGAGCTACTCAGTATATGATTCCTAGCCTTTGACCAGCTCTTGTGGCCACTATATGTATAGGGCTCGAACAAAAACAAAAGTTGCTGGAAAAGCTCAGCAGGTCCATTAGCATCGGTGAAGAAAAATCAGAGTTAACGTTTCTGGTTAACTGGAGTTCTGAGGAAAGGTCACTGGACCTGAAACATCTGATTTTTCTTCACAGATGCTGCCAAGCCTGCTGAGCTTTTCTAGCATCTTCTGCTTTTCTTCCTGATTTACAGTATCTGCAGTTCTTTCGGTTTTTATTATGTATAGGATTGGCCCAGTTTCTGTTCTGTGGTCTGTGATAGGGTGGACAACAGTTGAAGTAAATTATCAAGAAGTTTGACAGTGCAAGGCCAAAGGAAGTGGCAATGGGACAAGTAAAGCAGGAAACAAACAAAGATATATTTAGGTGAAGTGAGGATGGCAGAATCATGAACAGATCTCGTCTGAAACAAAAAATGAGAAGCCAAAGCCAGAGGAGATAAAAATAAAATCAAGGCAGAGGTTATGGCTTGAAATTGTTAAGCTCAGTGTTGAGTTTGGAAGGCTGTAAAATGTCTGATTGAAAGATGAAGCTCTGTTCCTTGAAGTTCTGTGGATCAATATTAGAAAACTGCATGTGGCCAATGCTCGTGCAGTCAACATGGGAAGAAGGTGGTGACTTGAAACAACCAAAGTTGGAAAGTTTAGAATTATGCTTATGACTAAATGGAAATGTTCTGCAAAACTTTTACTTTACACTTCTCAGAATGACTGATAACTTTAAGCAACTTTGACCAACTCAGTGGAATTGTACAAGATTCAAGTTAACAAGTCAGTTGACAAAATTGAACAAGTATGAAGACTTTTACTGTAACAACCCAAACAAAAGCAACATTGACTAAACATTGCCCAGCAATAACTAATACACTGAACTGCTGAAAAGTGAATCCTTATTGTTACTTTAACATGACCGATACCACAGGCTATGTATGTATACACTATGATACCCTCTCCATGGGAATAGAGTCTTTAAAGAAAGCAGTTCACAGTCAATCCAGGGAATTGGGTACCTTTGGACTGAGATCATTCTTTGACCCAAACTGGGACCGCTTTGCGGAACACCTATACTTAGTTCACACTAAACAAGTACACCTGCCAGTTGCGAACCATTTCAACTCCCCCTCCCATTCCTCAGACGACATGTCCATCCTGGGCCTCCTGCAGTGCCACAACGATGCCACCCGAAGGGTGCAGGAACAGCACCTCATATTCCGCTTGGGAACCCTGCAGCCCAATAGTATCAATGTGGACTTCACAAGCTTCAAAATCTCCCCTCCCCCTACCACATCCCAAAACCAGCCCAGCCTGTCCCCGCCTCCCTAACCTGTCCTTCCTCCCACCTATCCCCTCCTCCCACCTCAAGCCCCACTCCCATCTCCTACCTACTAACCTCATCCCGCCCCCTTGACCTGTCCGTCCTCCCAGGACTGACCTATCTCTTCCCTACCTCCCCACCTACACTCACCTTTACTGGCTCCATCCCCGCCTCTTTGACCTGTCTGTCTCCTCTTCACCTATCTTCTCCTCTATCCATCTTCTATCCACCTCCCCCTATTTATTTCAGAACCCCGTTCCCCTCCCCCATTTCTGAAGAAGGGTCTAGGCCCGAAACGTCAGCTTTCCTGCTCCTCTGATGCTGCCTGGCCTGCTGTGTTCATCCATCTCTACACCTTGTTATCTCAGCTTTCAGTAAAACCTTATTCTCTTTGCAGACTGTTGCACTCTATTCCTTATTACCCCTGATAGGACCTCTCATTATATTTTCCTGCCTCAAAATCTTGGAGACTGTCCACCACGAGCTCTGTTCCTCTCATCCTTGTTTTCAGACACAAACATTTGCACCCAGTTCTCTGAGAGACCGCCCAGTCTCCATGGTAACTAAGCCTCACAGGTAGAAATCATGACAGATGATATGACTCTCGATTGTCCATTGAATTAGAGAGTCAGTCTAAAGCACAAGCAGATTATAAAACCTCATATCAGTCACCGAATTGGCATTGGTCTCAGTAATGTTCCTCCAATGTCGCCGGGTCAAAATCTTGGAATTCCCTCCCTAACAGCATTGTGGGTCTACCCATGCCACCTGGAAAGCAGCGGTTCAAGAAGGCAGCTCACTACCACCTTCTCAAGGACAGCTACGGATGGGTAATAAATGCTGGTCTCACAGATAAAAGTAAATTGCTGTTTGGTCTAGTTGGGATTTCCTCAGCCAGGATGATGTTATTTTGATATAAAAAACCCAGCACTCGATACACAGCAGCAAAATTGCAGATGCTACCGGAGAAACTCGGCAGGTCTGGCAACATCTACGGAGAGAAACAGAGTTAATGTTTCTGAAATTCACTTCAGAACTGAAGTTCAGAAGATGGCACACTGGACCCGAAACGTTAACTCTGCTTTCTCTCTACAGATGGTGCTGAATTTCTCCAGCAATTTTTGTTTTTGTTTCGGATTTACAGCATCCACAGTTGTTTGGTGTTTTTTTTTTAGCAAAATTACTAATACTTAGCTTGAATTTGATCTGCATAAACTATATCCCAAAAGTGAAGAACTAATCAGATCAATCTGAATTTTAGGAAGCTCTATCCATGCAACAACCTCGTTTTAACATTAACCATAAGACCATAAGACATAGAAGCAGCCATTCGGCCCATTGAGTCTGCTCCATCATTCAATCATGGCTGATAGGTTTCTCAACCGCATTCTCCTGCTTTCTCCCCATAACCCTTGATCCCCCTGATAATCAAGACACTTGAGAACATGAAAGGCATTGCATTCGGATTTGCTCCTAGACCAGGGATGAAATATTCAAAAGTTAAGGTTTTTTTCTAAGAGCATCTCAGCTGGTCCCAGTCCCCTGCCCTTTCCCCATTGCTCTATACTTTTTTTTTCTCTTTAGGTGTTTGTCTTACACTGTTACAGGGATAGCATGAGGGTGGGGTCTGGGTGGGATGCTCTTCGGATGGTTGGTGTAGACTTGATGGGCCGAATGGCCGGCTTCCACACTGAAGGGACCCTATGATTCTATGATCAATTCCATTTTGATAGCTCCCGGTTGAACCTACTGCTCCCGCACTCTCCATGGTAGCTCAGTGGTTAGCATTGGTACCTCACGGTTCCAGGGACCTAGGTTCAATTCCACCCTTGGGTGATTGTTTATGTAGAGTTTGTATGTTCTCTCTGTGTCTGCATGGGTTTCCTCCCACAGTCCAAAGGTGTGCAGGTTAGGTGGATTGGCCAGGCTAAACTGCCTTTTAGTGTCCAGAGATGCGCAAGCTAGGCAGGGCAGCCATGGGAAAAGCAGAGTTACAGGGATGGGGTGGGTCTGGGTGGGATGGTGTGGACTCGATGGGCTGAATGCCCTGCTTCCACACTGTAGGCCTTCTCTGGCCCATTCCATTCTGACATTTCCCAGTTGAACCTGCCTCCCCCACACTCCCCTTTGTAGCTGTGCAACACAGGCCTGTGGTGACCCTTTCCATTTTCCACAGATGTCTGCCATCACACTCAGTGTGGAAAGTACTAAATCTCAGTTGACACCTCATTGTCCTTTCAACGAAGGTCTCCACTCAGAAACCTACACTACTGCTTGGACTCAAATATTTGTCCTTTGAAGTCAGAAGAAGCAAGACCAGACGCTCTGTTTTTTGTTTGGAAGTAAAATGCTTTCTGAAAAGGTTCTATTGGAGGAGTCACTGGACTCGAAACATTAACTCTGTTTTCTCTCCATAGATGCTGCCAGCTGAGTTTCTCCAGCATTCTCTGTTTTTCATAGAATCATAGATAGCATCATAGAATCCATACAGTGAGGAAGCAGGCCATTCAGCCCATCAAGTCTGCACCAATGCTCTGAAGAGCATCCCAGCTAGATCCAATGCCCCAAACTCCACAATGCCTGTAAGCCAGCATTTACTATAGCTAACCCACCTCGCCCGCACATCCCTGGGCACTACAGACAATTTAGCATGGCCGATCCACCTAACCTGCACTTCTCTGGACTGTGGGAGGAAACTGGAGCACCTGGAGGAAACCCACGCAGACACGGGGCTAATGTGCGAACTCCACACAGTCACCCAAGAGTGGAAGGGTTTCTGATGCTGTGAGGCAGCAGTGCTAACTACTGAGCCACTGTTCCACCCTGTGGATTTCCCACATCCACAGTTATTAATGTGTATTTTAGTGCTTTGTATGTTTCTTTATGGAAGACAGTAGTTTCCCAGCGAATTCTCCATGGTAACACACTGACCAATCAGAGTCGACTTGTCAACCAATCAGCACCCTTTTGTCGTGTAGTGTAAATTTTTGTTCCCTTTGAAATTTTGATATTCTTGCATCTGTCCTGATGAGTTCAAGGTGAGAAGCTTTGAAATTGGCTCCTTTCTCATCAAGACTGAAGCCAAGTCCTACCAAGCAAAAATTCAATCTTCTTTCTCCCTCCGTACACAGTTGGCCATGGGCAGAGTGAAGGCAAGCGCATGGTTGCATCCGATTTCAGAATCTATGTCCGGGACTGCCTGCAACATCTTGATCTGATGAAGGACCGTCACCCAGGCATGCAGATCTTCCTGTTTGCACATTCCATGGTAAGTGACCTATTGAAACACGGGGGGAAGTATGGCGTTGTTTGATCAGGAGAGGCTGGCTCCTGACCAAGAGTAGCCGGTAGTTTGTCTAATCTCTGTCAGGAGTTAAAGGCCTACTTCCAGATGTTCAAATACTGACCTAGACTGCCATTCCCTTAGGGCAGGACTGAGGGAGAGCTGCCTTAACCTCTCAGCCATCTCGTCTCTGATTTTTATGTTAGCCACCTACTTTTATGTTAAATTTGGTAGATAATAATTCTTTATTATTACTCTTAATTATGTGTTGCATCTGCATTCTAATGTTCTGTGACTCATGAAGAGAACACCTAGAGCCCACTGCACCTTGGAATTCTGCAGTCATCCTCCATTTAAATAATACAAAGCTTTTTTATTCTTCCTGCTAAAGAGAACAACTTCACTTTTTTTTCACATTATATTTGCATAATACATTTCACATTATATTCGAGCCTTATGTAGGGTGCAGACTTGATGAGCCATAGGGCCTTTACTGCATTGTATGAATCTATGAATATTCCATCTGCTAGAATTTTATCCATTCATTCAATTGATCTATTTTGTTGATATTATGCAGAAAAGATTCAGGAGAACAGTTCCAGGAGTGAGGGACCTGAGCTGCTTGAACAGATTGGAGAAGTTGGGAGTGTTCTCCTCAGAGAAGAGAAGGCTGGAAGGGGAACTGATCAAAAGGGGTTCAAAATCACAAGGGATCTGGGTAGAGTTGAGAGAGAGAGAAACTGTTCCCATGGGTGGAAGGTTCAAGACCCAGACGGAACAGATTGAAGGTAGTTGGTAAAAAGAAGCAATGGCGATTTGAGGAGATCAGAGAATATTTAGTAGAGGTTTTCCAAATTGTGAATGGGCTGGATAAAGTAGACAGGGCGTTAAGTTCCTGCTTGTGAAATAAAAAGAATGAGAGAGGCGTGGATTTAAAGTGGTCTGCAAAAGAAGCAAGGGTGATGTAGAAAGACTTTTTCACACAGCGGGTAGTTAGGGTCTGGAAGGCACTGCCTGGAAGTGTACTGGAGGCAGGTTCAATTGAGACATTGAAGAGGTGAGGCTGTTGACTTGCTTGCCAAACTGGTTTATTCTCGTTCAGAGGCGACATCATCAGTGGAGTCTCCGAAACGTCTGAGTGAGAACCAGCCAGCTCGGCGAGCAAGTCAACAGCCTCAACCCGAGCTACAGATCTTTGCCAAAACTTTAAACATTGAAGAGGTGCTTTGGATGGTTATTTAGATCGTAATGGTGTGCAGGGAAAAGTGGGGAAAGGCAGGAAATTGGCACTGGGTAATGAAGCTTTGTGCGTGCGTCAGTGTTTTGTTTCTGCCCAGGACCATAGGTAAAGTTGCCATAGACCCAGGGGCTGCTATCTCATTAGAGAGATGACTGGTGGTGGTTTAACCTGAGGGCCACCACAGCTCAGGCGAGGGGGGATATAGGAGAGACCTCCATGGTAATCTCAGCCAGTACAGGAATTGAACCCGCACTGTTAGCATCGATGTGTGGAACCTCAGGAGACAGGTGAGATCCTAAACCAATATTTTGCCTCAGTATTACTGTGGAGGAAGACATGGAAACTAGGGAACTATGGGAAATAAATAGTGATGTCTTGAAAAGAATCCACGTTACAGAAGAGGAGGTGGCGGAGGTCTTATAACACATAAAGGTAGATAAATCTCTGGGACCTGATCACATGTATTCTAGGACATTTTGAGAAGCTGGGGAAGAAATTGTGGGGCCCCTAGCGGAGATATTTGTATCTTTAACAGCCACGGGTGAGGTGCCAGAAGACTAGAGGGTAGCTAATGTTGTGTAATTATTTTAATAAGACTGCAAGGAAAAGCCAGGGAACTATAGGGAACTATAGGGAACTAAGGGGCAGCATGGTGGCTCAGTGGTTAGCACTGCTGCCTCGCAGCATCAGGGACCTGGGTTCAATTCCACCCTTGGGCCACTGTCTGTGTGGAGTTTGCACATTCTCCCTGTGTCTTTGTGGGTTTCCTCAGGGTGCTCCAGTTTTCTCCCGCAGCCCAAAGATGTGTAGGCTAGGTGGATTGGCCATGTTAAATTGCCCGTAGTGTTCAGGGATGCGCAGATTAGGTGGGTTATAAGGGGATGGGTCTGGGTGGGATCCTCTGAGGGTTGGTGTGGACTTGTTGGGCCAAAGGGCCTGTTTCCACACTGTAGGGATTCTATGATCTACAGAGCAGTGAGCGCTGACTCCAGTGATGGGTAAGTTGTTGGAGGGGATTCTGAGAAACAGGATCTACATGCATTTCAAAAGGCAAGGACTGATTAGGGATAGTCAGCGTGGCTTTGTGTGTGGGAAATCATGTCTCACAAAGTTAAAACAAAAACAGAAATTGCTGGAAAATCTCAGCAGGTTTCTTCAAAATGTTAACTGTGATTTCTCTCCACAGATGCTGCCAGACCTTCCAAGCTTTTCTAACAATTTCTGTTTTAGTTTCAGATTTCCAGCATCTGAAGTTCTTTCAGCTTTTATTCTCACAAAATTAATTGAGTTGTTTGAAGAAGTGACCAAGAAGATAGATGACAGCAGAGCAGTAAACATTGTCTACATGGACTTTAGCAAGGCCTTTGACAAGGTTCCACATAGTAGACTGGTTACGAAGGGTAGATCACATGGGATCCAGGAAGACCTAGCCAATTGAATACAAAATTGGCTTGACAGTAGGAGACAGAGGGTGGTGGTAAAGGGTTTTTGTTCAGACTGGAGGCCTGCGACCAGAGGTGTGCTACAAGGATCGGTGCTGAGTCTACTGTTGTTTGTCATTTATATTAACGATCCAATACAGGAGAGCTGAGAGACTGCGCTGAGGAGCATTCTGGGAGAAGTTGTCTTGACTGATGAGCGGAGCGAGGAAGATCCCGGTATCAAGGAACAGTGAGCCCCAAACATTACATTACTGTAACGTTTCCATCCATCTCTCCTCCTTTAACCAAAAAAAAAGAGAGAGATTGAACAGGCTGTTGGGAAGTTTGTTGCAGCTTAGAAGATATTTGGTCTGTTTGAAATGATTACGTTGTAATTTAAGTAACCACTTAGGGCTGCTGGTTGGTATGAGTGTGGGCTTAGGTGAATACTGGGCTTCAGAGAGTAAAGCAGGCAAGTTCAGATTCTTTTATCTTTCTTAGCGTAAAGGGGCAGAGATGGCAGTTAGGGCAGTGGAATGCTCCTCCTGCCTGATGTGGGAGATCAGGGAACGGTCTAGTGTCGCTGACGACTATGTCTGCAGGAAGTGTGACCGGCTACAGCTCCTCACAGACCATGTTGTTCATTTGGAGAAACAGTTGGACACACTGAGGAGCATACAGGGGGCAGAGAGTGTGTTAGACACTAGTTACAGCGAGGTGGTCACACCACAGGTCCAGACAGACAGATGGGTGACCGCCAGGAGAGGCAGGCGGGTAGTATAGGAGTCTCCTGTGGCTATTCCCCTCTCTAACATGTATACCGTTTTGGATACTTTTGGTGGGGATAGCCTCTCATGGCAGTATAACAGCAGCAGCCAGGCCTGTGGTACCATAACTGGCTCTGCTGTAGAGCAGGGTCGGGCAAGATCCAAGCGAGCAATGGTGGTAGGAGACTCACTGGCCTGGGAACCAGAGTAGCAGGGCAGTAAGTGGAGGGATTGAGGAGAAGGTAAGTGTTAGGACCAGTAAATCAGAAAGAAAGGACAGGCAGAGGCAGGTAAATGAACACAATGGTACTAGTAGGCTGAAGTGTGTTTATTTCAGGAGTGTTATAGATAAAGGAGATGAGCTTAGAGCCTGGATCAGTACATAGGACTATGATGTTGTGGCCATTACAGAGACTTGGTTGAGAGAGGGGCAGGACTGGCTGCTCAACATTCCACGTTTCGTTGTTTTAGACGAGATAGAGAGGAAGGTAAAAGAGGTGGAGGAGCTGCATTACTAATCAGGGAGAATGTTACATCTGCACTCAGAGAGGACATACAGGAGGGCTCATCCACTGAAGCAATATGGGTAGAGCTCAAAAATAAGATGGGTGCAATCACTCTGATAGGATTATACTATAGGCTCTCCAGTATCCACCGAGACATTGAGGAACAAATATGTAAACTGATTATGGAAAGATGCAATAAAAACAGAGCTGTCATAGAGGTGACTTTAATTTCCCCAGTATTGACTGGGATTCCCTTATAGCAAGGGGCTTAGATGGGAAGGAATTTGTTAAGAGTATCCAAGAGGGTTTCTTGAAACAGTATGTGGATAGTCAAACTAGAAGAGGATCCATGCTGGACTATGGCTAATGTGCCTGGCCAGGAGACTGAGCTTTCAGTGGGAGAGCATTTTGGAAACAGTGATCACATTCCTTAAGTTTTAAGATAGCTATGAATAAGGATAAGGCAGGATCTTGCATAAGGTACTGAATTGCAGGAGGGCAAATTACGTGGGAGTGTTAATTGGGAGGAGCTGTTATCAGGCAAGTCCACATTTGACATGTTGGAACTGTTTAGAGACCTGCTGATGAGAGTTCAGGACCAGCACATTCCAGTAAGGAGGAAGGACAAGGATGGCAAGGTATGTAGAAGATCTGGATCGGTGCAGGCTTGGAGGGCCGAAGGGCCTGTTTCTGTGCTGTAAGTTTCTTTGTTCTTTGTATGGGACCCTTGGATAACGAGGGAGGTTGTGAATTTAGTCAAAAGGATAAAAGAAACATATGTAAGATTTAGGAAGCTAAAATCAGACAGGGCGCATGAGGAATAAAAGGAAAGCAGGAAAGAACTCAAGCAGGGAATTAGGAGAGCAAGAAGGGACCATGAAATGACCTTGGCAAGTGGGGTTAAAGAGAATACCAAGGCATTCTATAGATACATTAAAAACAACAGTACAACTAGGGAGAAGGTAGGACCACTCAAGGATGAAGGAGGGAACTTGTGCTTTTGACAAGTTCCCTCATGGTAGGCTCATCCAGAAGATTAAGATGCATGGGA